ATATATATATATATATATATATATATATATATATATATATATATATATATATGTATACATATATACATAGTCACACACGTATGTTATGTCGTGTTATTTATTATTAGTCACGTATATCTCTAAAAGAGTGAGACTTTTAAGTTAAGGCGCGCATTATAACTGATGTACGTACTACATAGTTGTGTAAGTAATCGATTCTTACCGATTCTGCGGTTTTTTTTCCTTTTTGACTCGGGATGTTCCTGACAGCGTTTCGCGTGGAACATTCGAAGACGGTGTTAAGCATATCAACGATGGAAGTGGCGTTTGTTTAAGAATGGTGGTTACGCATACTTCCGTCGTGTTCGCATGCTGCGAGAAATCGCGTCAATATTGCTTCTGTTCTTTTCATTTCGATGGGACGCAAGCGAGACAGCGAGAGAGACGCAATTTCCAAACGGATCACAAGATATGGAAATGTGCAAAGCAATATTGCAAAATTTATTATTACGTATAGACTAATTTATATCTCGTTGCGGTAAGAATTTTAATGTATATAGATAGTTGGATTTTACCATATGCAATCGAACGACAGCTTATTCCTGGACTGTCGGCGAACGAAGGAAGAACATATCTATCGAGGCAAACGAGTCCGTTTGAATATCCCACGTGACATTTCTCTCGACTATACGTGAAAATTAAAGTATCGAATAATCAACTGTAGCCCACGTGTACATGAATAAATTGTATTCTTAGAGAGATCTTAATAATAATAACAATAATAAAACATATGCAATGGAAGCTGTAAATACGCTGTAAATATAAGTGCGCGTATCTTCATTTCCCCATCCTCGTCTAGTATTCTTCATTTAAAATAAGCTAAATTATTGACATTAGACATGTTTTTTTTTATTTACTTATATTATTTTATTAATTATTCTTAGTATAAAATTAAAAACAGTGACATTTGCAGTCCGACATTATGAAGATCGTTCTAAATCCACCTGCTGTAAGGCACGAAATACAATGGGTGTAATAAGTTTGTAACTTTTTGCTCTAAGCCAAAAATTATGTAACAATTTTTGAGCTTAGAGCAAAATGCTGAAGGTTTACTTCATTGTGTTTCGCGTCTTATAGCAAGTTTATAATTTCTTTAAAGAAATTGGACTCTGGATTCCAACTGGATTACAAGAAATTTTTTATATGGCACTAACCATATAACATTTCAAAATAAACGGTCTTAAATAACGGTCTTAAAGATCGGATCTTGAATGCCGTCCTAACAAAAATATTCATAATTTGATCTTACATTTATAAGATTGTACATACTCAGACTATAAAAGTTGTTACGTTACATCTGTTACATAACGTATTAGGATAAACTTTAGACGATTTTAAATATAAAATGGAATTATGAATACCTAGGAACAACATTTGACTTTATACTTAAGATTATCTTAAATTAATCTTCAGATACTAGAAATGTTTCTCATTGGTTACATAGAATATTAAAATAAACTCTAAGTTTACATAAAATTAGCCTATAATACTGGCCTAGCATATTCATATAGTCGAATCTTATACTCAAAATCATCTTAAATATATCTTCAAGTACACCATAGCCGATGAAATGATTTGTATAGCATCTAAAAATGAACTTAAGAAAATCTTACATATAAGATCTGGTCATTAGTACCGCCCATAGTTTGATCTTATATTTAAAATCGTCTTAAATTCACCTTCGGATTCTGTAAAAGTTTTCACTGATTCGATTTCACTGATTTCATAATATCTTGCAATGAGACGATCTTGGATATATGATCCGACTATGAAATCTGCTCTAAATCATACTTATATATGTTATGCGAAACAAAATAATCATGTAAAGAAGTCAGTATTATAAAAATAAAAACAAAAAACAAACAAAATCTCTGTTTTTTGGTTTTTGAAGCAAAAATTTGTCATACATAAAAAGATAAAAGGATAACAAACGATTATAACGATACATATAACATTATATATAAAGGTGAAGATCAGACAAAGTTACATGTGCAACTGTGCCAATTGCTCCGTCAACTGCTCTGACAACTGCTCTGACAAGGCGGACATCTCCTTAGTGTACAACTCCGACTTCTTCGCGCGCAGAAACGTGTTCTGCGCGTCGAACAGATACTGCAACACCTGCTTCTCCGTGAGATACGGCGCCGTGCCGACGTTATAGATGAGGAACCATTTGATCATGCTTTTGTACAGATCGTTGTAGAAGATTTGCGGCACGCTGAACACCTTGGCCATTTCCCCGACGATCCGATCCTCCAGTTCGAACTCGGACGGCTGGTCCACCGCGAACACCAGCTTCCTCAGGAAGTCGTATATGATCATATCGTTCGGCATTACCTGTCGCAACCGTTCCATCACACACGGATTCTGTTGAACCATACCAAAATCAATGCGATACCGTTTCCCCTTCCCCTCGAAGTTGAAGATCGGATCCTCGTTCACAGGCACGAGAAAATTGATGGAGTGGATGTTAATGTTCGTAAAGACTGTCATGTCCAAAATCTGCTCCATCTTTATCTTCTCGAAGTTGCCGAGCATGTTCAGGTACGACTTGAACAAGTAGATCAGGCTGTACTGATTCTTTTTCTGTTTAGACTTCAGTGAGCCGAGAGTGATCTTCGCTTTGTTATCCAGGCACAACTTGTGCTTTATTTGCACGAAGCGATATACGCGTCGAGTGCTGGCGGTATCGCTGATCCCGTTCGCCATGTTGTCGATATCGTACTTCAGTATCAAATCGTGAAATCCGCGTGCGTTGCGCACCTCTGTACCCAAGTACCAGTTCCTTATGCTTGCGTCGCTGTTGCGTAGCAACTTCCAGACCACCCAGGTCAGGATCTTTACTTGGTAGGTGATGCCGTGTGTTATGCCTTGTTTCAAGTACGCTGCCGCGAATTGGTCGTCCCGCTCCGGGTCTGTGGGGATAATATAATTGACATCATTACAATTAGGGCAACATGAAAAATGATCAATGGTAAAGTGTATCTCTATTCGATTAAGATTAAGATCAAACAGAGAAAAGGAATAGCCGATGAGAATCGGCTGTCTTCGTGTAATTCACTTCTACTGTATTACGAAGAGAGTTAAAAAGCAATGATGTTAACGTTACAAAATTATCTTTTCTTAGTAACGACATTATCTTTTTTCGTCAGTAACGATAATGATAAGACAATTACATTTTTTCGATAACTAATACAAATATTTCACACATGTAGAATGTATATAGAGTGGGCGACATCAAATCATGAGAATGATTAAAGGTCTCTCAAAGGAGGAGTCTATAAAACCGGTTTTCGGCACTGTTTGAATTTTATTTTAAACTATCAGAAACGTCTTATTATTATAAAAACTATCAAAATCATGTGATTTTAGGTTAAACGGACGTATTTGACACCTGTTTATTCTAATTAATCCCATTTTTACCACTGTTATAGTTCTAAGTTTCTTTATCCGTTCTTTATCATTATCTAGGATCAATGGCGTGAACGTATCGGATTTCTGATCCCTTTTGGAGTGTTTTATTTACGCGAGTCTCCTTGTCTCTCACTTTGGAGTGGCTATTTACGTGAGTAAATGTTAAATATAGATAAAGAAGCTTAAAACCATAATAGTGTGGTAATAGTGGTGGTAAGAAATGGAACTAATTAGTTAGAATAAACAGGTGTCAAATAAAGTCTGTTTAAGCTAAAATCACATGATTTCGATAATTTTTATAAGAATAAAACGTTTCTGATAGTTTAGAATGAAATTCAAACAGAGCCAAAAACCGGCCTTATGGAGACGACTCCTTTGATCAAAAGAGTAATAGAAATTGTAACAATGCATGTTACTTCTGGAATAATACGATAACGAGTTTTTTTCAAAATAAATAATAACAATGATAACGAATTATTTTTTTAAACTGGTAAAAATTATGATATAACGAGTTACTAAAGCAATTAAATAAAAGATTAAGATTTTAAATTAAGGTCTAAGGTCTAATCAAGATGAAAAAAATGAATTATGTACTATGTAATAAATTGCCTACAGTAAATTAACCTATGGTAATGTAGAAAACTGCTCTTGCTTGAATGACACTAAACGTTAATGTCTCTAAAAGATAACTTTCTAAAAAGTTATTTTGTAAGATGTTAATATATTATTTTTAGCTTATACATATATTATAAATATATTCTTATTTATGTTCTTAAAATGTTCTCTTTGTTATTCTAAAATATAAATAAATATAATAAATATAAATAAATATAAATTATTGGCATGTCACTTAAGATTGACACGTGACTTAAGATAGGATAATGTTAAAATATTAAACGTAGAACCGTCTTATCGTAAAGGATTCATATCCAAAATGACACAACTTAAGTAACAGAATAACATTAAATGCTGCACTAATGACATAATGGCATTATTTTAAAAATAATCAACTGTGGTGGGTCAATTTATTACGGCTTAAAGATTAAAGCAAGGTTGTGGACAAAGGCTAATACGTCATTTGACATCATTGTGTTTGCTAGGAAATCAGATTCGTCATTTGACTGGAATATAATAGTGAAATGATTATTATACCTCAATTATTTCAACACTTACACAATGTATAAATAGTTAGCAAGCGAAACGCCACACGAGGTGCATCTCGCTTTTAAAAGGAAAAAGAAATGCCTTTTTTTGGGAGAGCACCTTACACGCACCGTTCTTCTAAGAAGCGCGGCTGGACAGCTATAAGCACGAGCCTCGCGACGAATTCGCGAGACCTGCACCGAAATTCGAAGAACCGCGAACCTCGCGATTTTTCGGAGAAATTTAAAACTCACAGATAGGAAACACTCAAGAAGAAAAGGAGTATAAATAGGGGGCGAGATGCCCAGTGTTTTAATTCGCTCTCGAACTCTAACGAGACAACTTCTCTGGAGACAGACAAGCTAAAGAATCAGAACTAATACCACGACGAGGATCCCTGGGCATCCTGAAACGCTTTGGCCTCAGGGCGAGGCCCAAGGCTTAGGCCACAAACCGCTCCGCAGGAAGTTGCGGGAGCTTTTCGGAACCGACAGCGAGGATGACACGGATAAGGAGTCGGTGAGTCCAATTCCCAGCTTACCGACGCCCTCCTGGTCCTCCTTGCTCTCGCCGACGCGTATACCTAGGACGCCGTCGTCACGAAAGCGGCCACGAGCAGACACTGACACACATACACCCATTGTAATCAAATAAACATGGGATTTATTTCTTGAGCCAATTTCATCTTTGCGTATACCCTTCTCCTCCTGCGAGCGCGATTGCAAATACGGCTAGATCCAGTGAACGCGAGCTAACGCAACCACATAGTTTGCACTTTAAGAGCTCCCGTCAAGGATCAACATATGTTTATGTAGATGAATACGTCCTCTCTCTTTGCTATGACTCTCTTTGCTGTAACTTGTCTATCAATCACATCATGTTACGATTATACTATAGTCTTTACGATGTCTAGAATTATATTAAACTACTAAAAAGGTTCAATATGTTTAATTGTAACCAGTTTTTCATCTGAGCAGCACAAAACATTTAATTAATGAATCTATAGCAGCCAACAGTTAACCCAATTAATACGCATTGCTCGGGCATTGGTGAATTAAACCGTAATTCTAAATACTGTTGTGTCGTAATTATTTCGAATGTTGATCTATTGCTTTATTGCTTGTCTTTTGAAGTTTCATGAAAGGATTAGGGAAGATCAAGGCTAGATGCCCTATATTTTAGCATTTCGATATATTTTACAACTTTTCAAGCAACTAATTGTTGTGACTGATTGTATAAACAAGATAGAGGCAATCTTCTTCTAGATATTAATGCCCGCCACGATTTTGTATATTTTGTTTTGCAATAATCAAAGTACAAACATACAGCAATATAGCCATTTTACTCTGGCACCATATTCAGTCGTTCAGTAGCGTGGGGTAAAAAGGCCACGTATAAAATATGTATCTTGATTAGTACACTGAAAGAAAAATGTTTGATATTTGTAACTATAATCATATAGAGAAATAAATATTATAAATTATGGTTAAGACAACCATTTTGTAGTCAATTGTACTATAATTTTAGCAATCTTCAATTGTACTATAATTTTAACAATATTCTATGTATGTTACTACTACTATCTTCGTGTTAGAACAACCAAAAAATATAGTTTAAATCCAATTTGATATCAACTATATTTTTTGGTTGTTCCAATACGAAAATAGTAGTAGTAACATGCATATAAGATTATTATCGCTAAAATAATAGTTTAATTTACTAAAACATAGTCTTAACCATTAATTGTCTTAACCATAATTTATAGTAATTATTTCTCTATATGATTATAGTTTTAAATACAAACATTTTTCTCTCAGTGTAGATTCAGAATGTCCACAATCCTCCTGCCGGTCCTTAATTATAAACCAACTTTATCTCGTCCACTCATATACTCTATTTCAATCATTTTGTGAATGAAAATTACAATTAATAAAATTATTAATTTAATTTGTTACCAGAAACAGTATATCATACATTTGCAAGAAATCTTATTCTAGCTAGTAACACATCGTTTATTTTTATTCAGTCACGATGGAAAATATTAATATATAACTTATTCTACAAAAGAAGCTCAAAAATTTATTTTGCTGTTACCAAATCAATTTTTTTTCTATTTCTTAACTATAATATTATTCCTATTTCTTAATTATAATATTATACCTATTTTAATGAAACTTAAGGAAATGTATTTATTTTCTAAAAAGACTATTTCGCAATTTTGTATACCCACTATTCTTTTCAAGATAAATACTAAAAACTAGTAAATACTAAACAAAATCATATAAACAACATAAACTCTGGGATCATACAGCCCCGTTTTTCTCCACTCGTGGTTATCGTTAATTTACTATTTGAACAATCCTAGATCATTTATAATGGAAAACCATATATATAGATCATTGTTAATCTAGGTTTAAACATACTCGCTACCAAGATTTATTTGGAGGACTTTTTCCACAGATCATCTCACAGACCAATTTTTTTTATAGTTGTATAAAACAGACCTTGATCGATAATGTAATATGGCATAGCAAAAAAAAAGTTTACCATCCCACATCTAACGTATTTAAGGCTGATGCTTCGCTACGGAACTCTTGATTGATGAAGTAAGAAATGAGAAAACGCATACTCAAAATTTTTATATGCTATTTCAGAAAACAAAAAAAGAAAAAGAATATTTGTATGAACACTTTGAATCACTTGAATATATTTACTCCAAAAGTTATCATTTTTCTTGATAATCAATAGTCGTAAAATTAACGTGGCAACTTTTTTCTCATGACTTTGACACGTTAATTTATTGATTGTCAAGGAAAAAGGTTAATGATTGTCAAGGAAATAGTTAAGTTAATAATATGTAAAATATGTTATTTTCAATGTAGGCAACATTTTTAGCTCAGGTAATATATGACAGATAAAGGCAGTGCTCCTTCCAGTATGCTATATAGTTCAATTAAATGTTACATAATTCAATTAAAGAGACATCATCCTTGTTCATAAATCCGTACATGTAACTGTACATGGTTATATATATAAAATTACAATTATAAACTATTATTATCGAAAAATATTTGTTTACAAAGCGATAGCCGCTGGCAAAATAAAATCACATATACGCGATTGTCGAATTGTTAAAAACCGTATTTAAACCGTATATTTAACTTTGACTTTTATCGTCCTTCACTATCGAAATATTTATTCTGTTTGTTTCCATCGCATAGTTTGTGCAACATAATTGCGTAGCCTTGAAACTTAGTGTTTCTACGCGATTATTAAGTCTGATCTACAATGTGCTCTTTGCTTCCTGTTTTTTGTGGTCTGTCTTTTTTTAGTTGAAGGCTCAAGATATGAGTCAGAA